AAAACAGAAACAGTACAAGTTACAAATGATTTGCTTTCCTGCTTTTGGCAATATCTCTAAAATGAGAAGCATTCTGTCTCAGAGGGGTGATGAAAAACTACTTCATGCATTTTTTAATTTCTAGCCTGGACTATTGTAATTCATTATTATCAGGTTGTTCTAAACCCTCCCTGAACAGCCTTAAGTTGATCCAAAATGCTGTAGCGAGAGATTCCCAGCCAGTCGTGGCAGATGCTGCAAATCCCTGAGCCTGGTTCTACTGGAGACTTCTTCCTTAAAAGGGAGTTTTTCCTTCCCACTGTAACCAAATGCTTGCTTAAGGGCCAGGTCTTTCTCGGAGATTAGATTTAAATCTCAATGACACTTTTTACTTAGATAAATAAAGGATACGAAGATTAAAGAGGGATGTCTGACTGCTGGAGTTTTCTCTGTGTTATTGTAATGTCTTTTGCCTTGCAAAATAAAGCACCTTCAGACAACTGTTGTTATCTTCCTCTATAAATAAAACTAAATTTAACTTTTATTGTCTATATAAACAGGGAACCGTATGAATCAAGTGTAATTGTCACGTTCAAAAAGTGAGTAATTATTTTCATCATATTTACTATTGGGTTTTAAAATTAGTGATATATTTTGCACCACATTTATAAATTAAGACAACGCGCGACACGGATAAAATAAAATTAAGAATTAAATTCAATATTTTAATTTTTCTGCCATGCAGACCGCAAATAAGTCATGTGATCTCATCACGTGACTGGGTTCAAAGTTGAAAGTCAAACAGCATTACAGCTCTTCGGTATGGCGGTCTTGGTAGGTTGCAGATCCTTTTGGCAATCTTTTCGCGTACAGGCAGCGCATCGACAGAGTGCGTGTAGGCTAGCCGCTGCCTTCTTCTCCAGGCGGTATGTTCTGTCTAACAGAGTCGTGCTTTGTCCTCGCCTGAACGGCCACGGTGCTGTTACGCGATACTACAGCTCCGACTCAAAGGATGACCTGCGCGTTAGATACCTAGACGGAGAAGACAGCGGTAAGTTCTTGTCACAGCCTGCATTACCTGCGAGTTTGTCAGGAGAAAGCTGGTGTTATTGTCGAAACGGAATTCCCAAAAAGTCAAAGTAAAAGGTGGCATTCACATCACTGTGTAACATGATGTCATCCTAGACCGCAACAAAACACCAGAAAAGGTTCAAATTCATTTAATGCAGGTACATTTCCCAAAATTAATTTGATAATCCCTTACCTTTAAGGCGAACAGAATGCAGTTTTGATATTGTTTACTGATAATGTTTAATAATTATGAGGAATTTCAAGTTAGTCGAATTTTCTCGAAAAGCTAGTGATAAATAAAAAAAATCATCATTGGTGATTAAATAAAAAAAAAAAAAAAAGATGTTCATAAGCTCTCTGACCATCTCGGCTATTCAGTTTTGGTGACATAAACGTGTGTGGCGTGGTCAGTCAGCAGGATGTCACATCTATCTTTCAGGTATTGTCGTCGTTGGAATAAATCGACCAAAAGCCAAAAATGCCATAAGCAAAAATCTTGTGAAAATGGTATGTATTGCTATATGCCTTTTAATCTATTTTTATTTTTTAAAATTATGGTTAGAACCAAGCAAACAATTCATAAGTTTCATCTAGGATTCTACTTACCTGCACTACACATAGGCTTCTTTGTGCTTAGGTCATTCAGAGAGCTTGGCTACTTGGGTTATACATTATATGTAGTTATGGGTCATTGTGGCTCAGGGGCAGCGATCTTTTTTTCATGTGTGAGTGAATTTAGTGTAAAAAGTTTTCAAGTGGTTAAAGATCTAAATGCCAGTCAGTACTACAATTTCCTTTTCCACTCTTCATCTCCTCTAGTCACAACTTCTATAAACCAATTAACTTTCTTGATGTACAGTTTTAAAATTAAACGGCTTTAAGATCTGGAAGGAGTGCACACTTGTCTCTGTTCACCAATCACGGCTAACTATGACTAAGCTGTCCATGTTGTTTATGTCCTCATAAACCCAGGAACAGAAAAATAGACTTCTACTCTTTAAATATCAGCTGAGCCTAAGCACTCAGTAGAAACTTAAGAGCTCAAAGGTATTTTAATGCTAAACTTTTAATATCTCTTAAGTACTAGTTTATCCTGAACTGTCCTTCAAGTTATTTATTTTCAGTTGTCATAATTTATAAAATGTTGACAGACATTTTTTGTTGTTGTTGGAAAACTTTTTTGTCTTTCAGATGTTTGAAGCTGTGGAGGACATCAAGAAGAATAAAAAAGTGCGCAGTGTAATTTTATGCAGTTTGGTTCCTGGTATATTTTGTGCAGGTATACTGTCCTTGCTAATTGGGCTATTTTCTTTTTGAACCATAATTGGAAAAATAATAATAACATAAAAAATGCTCTACGTTTTACTTGTCATTCTTCAGTTGTTGATAAATTCCCACATCACTATGATCCGGAATCTGAAATACCCATCTTGGGTCTTGTGAGCGAAATTCGGCTTTAAATTCAGAAACGGTAGCAGATGCCAAAACTGTGTGTGCTGGTAATGCACTCCTCTGCTGTATGCCTCAGGAAGCCACTTACCTCTGGCTGAACGCTTTTCCTTTGTGTCTATTGGCAGGTGCAGATCTGAAGGAGAGGGCCAAGATGCACCAGAGCGAAGTGGGACCATTTGTATCCAAAGCAAGAGCCCTCATTACAGAGCTAGGTAAAGTCTGAATCATGCAAAATTAATTCGTAAATTGTTTATTTATTGAGTTGGAAGTGCTTTAATGGTTGTTTGAGGTTCATGCCACACTTGTGGATTTAATGGCTAAGGACTGCATTTACACATAGCGCTATGCACAAATCTCTACTTAAACTGTTCACACAAATAATTTATGGACAAATCCTACATTCATAAATATTTATTTACCACAATTTGTAAGTAATGTGACTACATTTTGTTTGAACCAGTACTTTTCTTAAATTCAGTTCACTTTTTGTTATACATGGCAGTTCCCAATGATGGTCAGTCCTGTATAAATACAGTGTGCATCTCCTTGATTGATAGATCATTCTTTTCACAGGAAGCCTGCCAGTACCAACAATTGCTGCAATTGATGGTGCTGCCTTAGGAGGAGGATTGGAAATGGCCCTTGCTTGTGACATCAGAATTTCCTGTAAGACTCAGAGGACTTTACTTTGAGTTAATAAATATGGCTGCTTTGCCTGTGTTTACTAATATGACATTAGTAGGGCCCTATAGTAAACCTAAAAGGGCTACACTCCAAGGAATGTATGAAAATCAAATATATATTATGAAATGTGTTTGTAGTACATTTTACAACTTTTCTAATCTTTGAGTGAGAACCTGAGTTATGGCATGCTGCTAACACGGATACTAAACATGCAGTAGAACATATTTTAACCAACTTAAAAATCAGTTTAACTGTGGCTTGAATTTAAAGTTTACTTGGGACTTTAAGCTTTACTTTTATGAAGATCTGAAGCACTATTGGTCTCATTAAAAATAAAGATATGAAAAAAAAAGTTTCATAAATGCTTTCTTAATCCGATGTGTTTGGGAAATTTTGCTGCACGTTTTCCAAAGCCACTAAATGCTGCTAAGAAAAGTAGTAATTCTACCTCAGGATTGACCACTTGTGATTGGTTAGTTTATGTCACTCTTAAAATACATTAATATGCTGAAATGGAACAGAGTTGCAGTTCTCACTGTTCTTCACTTTAGTGGTTTTAATGTTGTGTGTTAAGAGCGTACATCAGTAGTTGTGGTAGTAATAATTTTTTCTCTTTAATCTATCTAGCCAATACTGCCAAAATGGGACTAGTTGAGACAAAACTTGCAATTATTCCTGGAGCAGGTACAGCATGTTTTATTTCATTTCTTTGTAAATTTTGTAGTTTCATTTTAAATTATGTTGTCTATAAAAATGTAGTGTGTAGACAGAGCACTTACTAGATTTAGAAACCTTGGGAAAATAACTTTGGGGGATTGTTTCCACAACTCTTTCTATAGTTTCTCCACAAGGTGGTCATTTTTACATTGAATTGCTACTACAGATGGAGGGCAGTATCAGTGTATCAGTGGGTGAGGCCATATTTTATCCAGGTTTCTCCTGTGCCCTGTGCAGGTGGTACACAACGTCTCCCTAGGGTGATTGGCGTCTCTCTTGCCAAGGAGCTCATCTTTGCTGCACGAGTGGTTGATGGAACACAGGCGCAACAAATGGGTCTTGTCAGTCATTCTGTGGAGCAGAATAACAGTGGAGATGCTGCCTACTTGAGGGCTCTGGAGCTTGCACGGGAGATTAACCCCCAGGTAAGAAGATCATGTAACTGATAAGCAGATCTTTGTATCAATAATTTCAAGACCCTATTTTTACAATGCACCCTTACCCAACTGGACACTACTCCTTCGAGGTCTGCTTGTTGCGAAATGTGAGCACTCCATTGCGACTGTTATTTTTAGCTCTCTTTCAAAATTGCTATTCTAAACACCTGAATATTCCACACTTGTGTTGCATGCCAGATTTCATCCTCTCTGAAAACAGAATCTCTCAGCTTGACTTTGGGAAAGTGGACAGTCTCAGTGATTCAAATTACAGATAGTGAGTGGTCTTTGTGCTGGTATGCAAAGTCTTCTGTTTTATTAATGTAGTGAGAGCAGTTCAGTTCAAGCTGTTTCACCCATAGTTGTCCCCTAGAACTCATCATGTTGCAGTAGAGCTCTTACAATGTGACCTAGGGGATGAAATTATGGTGCACAACCCTATAAATTTGTAAGAAAACTACAACCCTGGTGCTGGTTGGGCTTCTGCTCAGTTGTACCTTCTTCAGGCTTTGTCCCTGAACACAGCAGTTTAGACGTGGTCAAAAAAGGGCTTGAGGTGTTTAGTGCCAAATTGAAAGGATACATTTTTGTTTTCTTTGATCGTTCATATTTTAAAAAATGAACATTTTGTGCAAAACAACCTGACTAAAAAAAAAAACAGCAAAACATTTTCTCATATTAACCTTTTCAACCATAGCATATAAAACGTATATACATTTTTGATTTTTTGACTCCACAGGGCCCAATTGCAATAAGGATGGCAAAGTTGGCAATTAACCAGGGGATAGAGGTAAGTGTGGTCAGTGGATGGGTGCCTTTACTGTTCTTTATTTTGTTTGTAATTCTGTAATAAAATTTACATTTTCAAAACTTTACACCTTTTAAAGCTCTTCAGTTTAACTCTTTGTGGACAAAGATATTTTTTTGGCTGTATTGCAACCCTAACTGAGAATTGCCACATTCCCTTTCAGGTGGATTTATCTACAGGTCTGGCAATAGAAGAGGCTTGTTATTCCCAAGTGAGTAATGAAAAAGTGTGATTGTGCAGGTGGAAGATTGTTAGCATTAACGAAAGGTAGAATGTGAGGGTCAGGAAAACCTTATGTTATTCATCTCAATTATATAAAGTAGAAGAGGCTAGAGGCTATACTGCCCACCTCTGACAGAGATGTCTCTTATTTGTTATTACAACCATTTATTTCTTGCAGTAAACTGAGCAGTTTGCAATGTTACAGAGTTTTAGTGACATTTGTACCTGGAGATCTGTGCATTTAAAAAAACAAAAAAACAGGAAGGAGCATAAAGGTCTCTGTACCTTTACATATCACTACCTTTTAAATGAAAAACAAATAATAAATCCCCCCTATAATAAATCTGGCAGAGGGATTGTGTCATTCACATTTTAACCTTTGCAGGTGCAAAAAGGGTTTTACTTGCATACATATATGACCCCAACTGCAATTTTTAGTTGTAATTCCTGCAGTTTTACATATTAACAGAGTGACGGTGTATTTGTTCTGAGTGTTGGCTAGGGCAGAAAAAAACCTATCTAACCAATAGGGTATTGTGAAACCATTGGAAGGGTAATTTGTGTCTTTTGTATATACAAGAACACAGTAGTGGTCTACTCACATGCTTTTGGTGTTTTAAGGTGATACCAACTAAAGACCGTTTGGAAGGCTTGGCTGCTTTCAAGGAGAAGAGGCAGCCTCAGTTCAAAGGGGAATGAAGTCATCGTTCCAGAATCGATCAGTTCTGCCTTCAGCTCTGCTACTGTTCACTGCTTCCAACATAAATAACGGGTCAGACTGAACTCGCCAATACATTAGCCCATACAGTACCCATAGGATAGTTGACAGCTGGACCTTAGGGGTTATTGTGGGCTGATGTTTCAGGCTAAAGCACTTTCTGACTTTGTCAATTCAATTCACTTTTATTTATATAGTGACAGTTTATGACAGCAGTCACCGCAAGGCGCTTTAAATTGTAAGGTAAAGACTTTACAACTAACCACATTAAGATTTGGAGAAACAAAGCAAACTAACCCAGCTAAGTTAAATGTGTACTGCTGTGTTCATGTCTGCATAAAACAGTTTTTCATTCACTTTACCAAAATGAAGCGAATGGAGATGCTTTGATTTCTTACTTTTGGGGCTTCAATGTGCTAGTAACAAAACATCCTTCAGATCAACTGGTTGAAAATCATTGTTGTTTTTCTACAAGTCAGTTTTTGGTGCCAAATTAATCTGATTAATTAAAAAAAAAAAGATTAAAAAAAAGATCTGAGCAACTTGATTACTGCTCAGAGCTTGATACGTTTCCACATTTGTTTCATAGCAAACCTGATGATTTGGCTTATATTGATTAAAATAATGGGATACCTGCTGTCCTCATTATTTGTAACTGGCCATGTTCATTATGACTGTCCATCATTAATGCTTAAACTATTTTGTTTACGTGTCGTCTTTACTTTCTGTCCAATTTTGTTACTTAAGACAACATCATATTAAAGTTGTTTTGTTTTTTTTTTAATACAAACCTTCTTTAAACACATGAGGGGTGCTTAAAGCTTACACTGTCTGAAACGATCTGAAATGGGCTTGTCTCCCTTTACAGCAATTTTGTTCTGATTGGCTATCCCTTGAACAGGACAACAGTGGGTTGTGCTTCTCTGCTGAAAGCCAGAGCCACACCTGAGATAATGATATTAAGGATATCAGTTCTGACATCATACAAAGCTAAGAGTAGAGCAAAACGCCTCAAACCTATAGTTTTTAGTAGTCTAAAGCCAGATCTTTTGGCTTATATTGATTCAAATAACGGGATACCTGCTGACCTCATTATTTGTAACTGGCCATGTTCATTATGACTGTCCATCATTAATTCAAGAAGTGAATATGACAGAAAAGGAAAAGCAGAGTAAGTCCCGGGGAGACCAGAGAAGCAGCATGTTGAATGTGAATTTAAATGCATCACAGAGCTCACTACGAACTCCAAGTCACTTAATTATTTTTAACGTATACTACATTGAAAGATGAGTGGGTTTTCTTGCAGTATACATCTGTCCATAGTACTGCTGGAAAGGTCAAAAGCGTGGGATTTGAATGACTCTACACACATCACAAGTCTGTTTGGTTTTTAGTGTATCTGCAGAAATTGAATACATTTTCAGTTTGACTTGAGAAATGTGAACTACACTTAAAACTTTTTTTAATTGTATTCTGAAATAAAAAATAAAAAAGGCTTATCGGTGTAACTTGTGTTACTGTGGTTTTTATATAAATGATATTAATTTTAAATGTGCATTAACACAGTTTTGTTAATCATCAACTTTTTGGCTGCTACGTTCAGGAGTAGTCACAGCGGGTCATTTGCTCTCATCTCACCTTATCCCTAGTATCCTTCCTTGTTACACCATTCCTCTGCATACCCGGTGTCACCACATCCATGAATCTTCTCTGTGAGCCCGCCCTCCATTGAGCTGTCATATTGATATACTTGCTTTAAATTTTGTAGGCTTTTTACCTTATAAAGTGAACTAAAGTCAACTGAAAAAATTGAATTGTCCTGTCCATCTTGATCGCTCACAGTGAGTGTCTTAACATTTTTACTCTTGCCTCTTATCTTCAGCCACCATCCCCACACCATACATCATAGCAGGTGTCCCTCCCATCTTGTAAAT